CCGCAGACTCGACCTGCTGGGCTCCGGCGACCCTTCCGCCTCAGCCTTCCAAGTAGCCGGAATTACAGGCATGCGCTACCATGCCCAGCTGATTTTTTAATTTATTTATTGAAGAGATGAGGTCTCACTGCCCAGGGGGGTCTCGAACCCACGGGCTCAGGCAATCCACTCACCTCAGCCTCCCAAAGGCGCGGAATTACAGGCTGAGCCACCGAGCCCGGCTAACAACAAAATCTTTAACACCAGGCACCAATCATCTTTATAAAAATGACAGGAGAGAACAATTAGAAATATACAACATCTAGTCTCAAACAGGTGTACTGGCTTACCCCTGTAATTCCAGCACTTTGGGAGGCCAAGGCAGGAGGACCGCTTGAGTCTAGGAATTCAAAACCAGCCTAGGCAACACAGCAAAACCTAATCTCTACCAAAAATCAAAAAATTAGCTGGGTATGGTAGAGCACATCTGTAGTCCCAGCTACTTGGGAGGCTAAGATCGAAGAATTGCCTGAGCCCAAAAGGTCAAGGCAGTGGTGAGCCGTGATCTGTACCACACTGTAGAGTCATGATCTGTACCACACTATACTCCAACCTGTTTGACAGAGTGAGACCCCAACTCAAAAAAAAAAAAAAAAAATCCAAACATACTATGGGGAAAACAGATCAAGAATACATGTATGATACAGATAGTGCTTGAATTAAGATAAAAATGTAAAGTAACCTAAAAGCTATTTAGTAAACTTCTAAAATGGTAACTGTGGGAGAATAGGGCACACAAAGTCCAAAGTCACTAGACATATGATGCCGTGACTTTTAATTTTACATTTATCTGCCAACAAAAGCAAAAAGGAAAAGGCAGTCACAGCTATAACTACTACACATTATCATGAGGTAACATTTAAAGAGCATTTGACAGTTTTCAAAATGCTTTTCAAACCCATCATCTCAAGGTGTGTGTGCTCTGGAATAAAAGTTCATGCACAAGAATTCATGCTAAACACAAAAGATAGATTCCAGTATTTGTAAGGCAGTCTCAGAAACCTAGAAGACGCTGTTCCCCAAACTATTTATGACAGTGATTCAACGTAGGAAGATATAAATGATTAAATGAACAGCATGAGTTGGGCACAGTGGCTCATGTCTATAATTTCAGCAATTTGGGAGGCCGAGGTGAGAGGACTGCCTGAGCCTAGGGGTTCAAAACCAACCTGGACAACTTGGCAAGACCTCGTCTCTACAACAAATCAAAAAATTAGCCGGGTATGGTGGCACATGTCTGTAGTTCCAGCTACTTGGAAGGCTGAGGCAGAAGGATCGCTTAAGCCCAGCAGGTGGAGGCTGTGATGGCCATGAGCGGGTCACTGCCCTCCAGCCTGGGTGACAGAATGAGGAGTGACAGAGTGAGACTCCAACTCAAAAAA